CCACACCCAGCTAAATTTATTTGTAATTTTTGTAGAGATAGGGTTTTGCCATGTTGCCCAGGCTGTTCTGGAGCTGCTAGGCTCAAGTGACCCACCCACCTCGGCCTCCCAAAGCGATGGGATTACAGGCGTGAGCCACTGCACCTGGCCTTGTACCAAGCACTTCCACATACATCACTGAGCTCATTTATGTCATAATTCTGAAAGGAGAGGTCAAAAATATGCAAGCTGCAGGATTTTCCCCAGGTCCTCTTACTTTACTTCTAGTGCTCGTCCACCAAATCATGGTTACTTCTGTGTTGTAAATATGTAAATACAAAAGAAGCTTTTTATTTCAAAACACCAGTGGTAAAAAAGAAGTTATAGAGCTTTTCTCTGAAAATCATGAGATTATCTGCTATTGTAGTAGCTTCTGTTTCCTCTTTACAGTGTTTGAAACAGAAATAAGCATGAAACGGGAAAATACACTGAAGTACTTTTCTAAGAACAAAACAGTTATCAACAAATCATCACTAAGTTTCTCTTATGGCATATCATTGTTTTCAAAGCTCTTTGTGCTGAAATGAGATGCTACTTGGAGTAAACTGTTATGCCCCCAAAAGTAAGGGGTATGGCAGCTGAAGTATGGCCTCCGAACTGGCTATACATTTCATCCTTACTACCAGTAGAAATAATAATCTAACCTCTCCATTAATATATTAGAAAGATGAAATCATGTCTGAAAGCTGGAATGTCAGTTGTTAGCAAGGGTTTTGAGATTGTGGAAAGATCATTAATTCCTATGAATAATAACAAATGTTTCTCCTTTGGATAAGGCCACTGTGAAAGTCACTACTTGACCCTTGCACACAAATGAGGTTGAATTAAGAAAATGACGTTATACAATGGGCCAAAAATTCCAGAACCACTGTCGCCACCCCCAAATATGTGTGTGTGTGTGTTTCAAAAATCCATACAAAAATTAGCCAGGTGTGATGTCAGGTGCCTGTAATCCCAGCTACCTGGGAGGCTGAGGCCGAGAACTGCTTGACCCTGGGAGGTGGATGTTGCAGTTGAGCTGAGATTGTGCCACTGCACTCCAGCCTGGGCAACAGAGCAAGACCCTGTGTCACTCCATCTCAAAAAATAAAAATAAAAATAATGCACCTGATATGCAAAATTAAAATGTTCATGTCAAATATATGTGAATGTTTCATATGAACTGATCTTAGCACATTGTAATGATCTATTTTGGAAATTTCAATTGCTGCATGTGGGTAGCTCACATTGGCTATCTTAATGGGTCAATTCAATGTCACATCACAGTACAAGATACTCACCGTTCTCTTACTCCTTGGTTATGTGAGTGACCGATAATTTCCCACAGGTTCTGTGTACCATCCTAAATCATAGGACAATAATATTAACCTATATTTAATGAACACATCTAAACCCAAACCAATAACTTATCACTGTAGTAAAAATATACAACAGGAATTATGAGATGGCTTCCCCAGTGTAAAGTGCTGTGTGCTCCATCATTCTCTAGGTGACTATATTTCTCTAGTCCGGTTCTCTGGAAACAATGAGAGTACTCTCTCTCCGCTCTTCTCTAGTACAGCTAGTGCTCGGCTTACAATCACAATTGGTTCCAACAGACCGGTCGTAACACGATTTGGTCGTAAGTTGAGTAGGCTATATGTACAGTACTGTGAAATGATGTTATAAAAATCTTTAAGTCATATTTTATCATAATTTTATTTCATTATTGTTATATATCATAATTTTCTTTGTTCATTTTATGCCATTTGTATCATCTCTACACCATTTTGTTTCTTATTTTTACATTCGTCAGGTTTAAGTAAAACACTGCATTACCAGTACAACTGGAGCAGTCATGGCTAGCCATTGTGGTTGTAAAGTCGAATGGTCGTAAGTTGCACAGGTCATAAGTCGATCAATACCTGTACCTACTTTTCATGTGCAAAGATATGGACCCTAGTGGTTAATAATGCCTAAGACCACCAACACCTGATGGTTTGCTCATACTATAAATGAAACTGTTCTCCAAATAATATTAACATCTATGTTTGTCTATCACATTGCCTCAATGTTCGTGTGATGCTATAAAACTTAGAAGGTCTATAAGGATGTTTTTGCTTTTTTCCATATAAAAAATGGCTCAACACAGATACAGATGATTATAGGTAGACAGGGGTCGTATTGTGAAATTTGTTTCTCTAAGGGACTTATTTCACTTCAAATTTGAAATTATTCTCGTTTTAAATGTAACAAATGATAAACCTTATAGAATGATAACACAACTATACATGTTATAAAGGCACAGCGTATATCAAATGATGAACCAATCATTTTGTGTTGAGGTTGGTATTATTTTTTACTGAGACTTCAATTCTCAGTAAATGAGAACAGTTTTTACACAGAGGGGCCATGCCCTAACACCACCACATACTGGGGTTGTCCTCATACTGTGAGGTTCTGCCCATGCCAAGCCAGAATGAGAATTTCATTCCTCACACTGTTCTCAGTACTTGTTTGTATTCCATAATATCCCCCTAAAAGTTCATTTTTATGCTGTTTGTTCTCTTATATTTAATACATGTATCAAAAAGTTATCTTCATTTTTAAAATAAAATTGTATACTATCTTTTAATCTATGTCCCTATAAAATAATCTTGGTCCATATACTTTTGTTATTACAGGCAGATCAGGACAAAATTCCTCTCTCTGGAATAAATGCTATGACCACTCCTCTTTCAGCATTATTTTTCTTAAATTATTTTTTAAACAGAAATTTATGTAACTTACATTAACCAAATTTCTTTTCAAAGTCACCACATTTAAGTTAAAAATATTTACCTTCTGTTGTCAAGAATTCTCTGAATATAAAATTTTTTTAAAAAAACTTTAGAAGAAATTAAAAATGTCTACATGTTACTAATCTAAAAATACAGGCTCTGGGTTTATATGGTGTTAACATGTCTTCCAAATTTTAAGGAATATGTATTTAAATGCCATGCCCTTTGATTTCAAATTTAGAAGGTATTTCAACCTTTTGGCTGGGCATGGTGGCTCATGCCTATAATCTCAGCATTTTGGGAGGCTGAGGTAGGAGGATCACTTAAGTCCAGGCATTTGAGTCCAGCCTGGGCAACACGGTGAACCCCATCTCTACAAAAAATTACAAAAATTGGCCAGGCATGGTGGCACCACCTGTAGTCCCAGCTACATGAGAGGCTGAGATAGGAGGATTGCTAGAGCTGGAAAAATTGAGGCTGCAGAAAGTAAAGTGTTGAGGCTAACAGATGATAAATATTTTTCACTTAAAAGAGATATTGGTTACATTGAAACGACATTTGTATAAATAAATTTCAATTAAAAATAATTTTAAGTGAGTCTTGTTAACACTCCTGTACTCCAGCCTGGGCAATAGAGCAAAACCTGTCCAAAGAAAGAAAGAGGAAGGAGGGAGGGAAGGAAGGAAAAAAGGAAAAAAGAAAGGAAGGAAGGAAGCAGAAGGGGAAGGAAAAGAGGAAGGGGAAGGGGAATGGAAGGAGAAGGGAAGGGGAAGGAGAAGAGGAAAGGAAGGGGAAGGGAAGGGGGAGGGAGAGAGAAAAAGAAAGGAAGGAAGGAAAGAGAAAGAAAGAGAAAGAAGGAAGAAAAGGAAGAAAAATGGAAGGAAAAAAAGAAAATGTTTCAAGTTTTACAGTAGCAAAGCCACAATGTAACGAATAAACAACAGAATCAAAACAAAAAAGGATTCTACAAACCAATCTAACCAACAAGAGTTATAGACTTCTGATTCAAATATCAAACAGCAATTTCAATAATAACAGGGTATGAAAACCCCACAAAGGTCAGGTAGGATGTATTATACTTCAATGAAATTATGAGTTGAGAGTAGTAAATCTATCAATCTAATCAAACAAATTGAAGAATTATGAGGAAATTGTACTGCTAATGTATTATTTGGTAAGCTATTCAGTGGAACA